AGCCAAAGGCAGACACTTAACCAACTGAGCCACCCAGGTGCCCCTTTATTTATTTATTTATTATTTTTTTTAAGTAATCTCTACATCCAACATGGGGCTCGAACTCACAAGCCTGGGGTCAAGAGGCTCATGCTCTACCAACTTCGCCAGTAAGATGCCCCTTGATTTTTTATACTTAAATGCATAGGCTCCAAACTTCATTCACACAGACTAGAAAAGGAACTGAAATCCAGGGAAAGGGCCCCAAACCATCTTTCAGATGTTAAAACTAAAACAATTATTGGCCTCTCAAATCCAAATTTAAAATTCTGCTGCTTTGAAAAGGCTAAGAATGTGAAAACTTACTTAGGTTTCTAAATAAAATATATTCTCTCATTCACTCCTTTACTAAGTTTCCTTACACACCCCACCCCCAACCCAACATACACCAGGCACTGCTTTGCGACCCCTAGGTTCTGCAGGGTATTTTAGTGCCTGACTGTATAGTTATATACATATGTTTTTCCAAAACAAAAGATATCAGTGGGTACTGTCCTCCTAAGGTACTTCCCTCCTACCATCTGCACAGAAGCTGCTGGCTACTTCTAGTCCTCACTGATCATCCATGGATCCCAGAGTAACTTCCCTTCTTCCTTTTTAGCACTGGTCTTCCTAGATGAAGCACCAGGCCTCATTCTGGCCTCCAGAGTCCCAATGCCCCATGCCTAAGCAGCCCCCAGATTTCCGACCAAGGAAGGGGCCTCAACTAGTTGGTGTCAGAAGATGGGATAGTCCTGGAAGGAGGGAACAACAACCAGAGTGTGCCTGAAGCTCTTACAGCCAAATCCTTTCCAGTCCTTGCTTCTCTAGGTTTGGGGTTCCTTTGGAGGCACTGTGGCCCCCAGGCTGGCCCTAATTTTCTCCCCCTTCCCTACTCCTTCACTCCTGATAGATCTTACATGTTTTCTTCCCCCCAGCCCAGAATGGCTCTAACCTCTGGATGTCATTACAGGCTTTTTTCATTTTTGTTTGGAGTTGGAGTTCTCTCCATCCTCCCTATTCCAGGCCTAGAAGGACGAAGGAGTGGCTGGCCAGAATTGACCAGCCTTCTGGGGCCTAATTAGCCCCAGCTGGAGCCCAAGCAGCTCCCACGGAGCCCATAGATAAGTAAAGAAGGAGGTGGACAGCCATCTTCATGGGCCCCTAAGTTAACCAGGGGCTATAAAGGGAAAGGCCTGTTATTCTCTATAGTTCTCGAAGTCAAAGCCTTTCTCCTCCCACTGCATAACCCAACCTAGTGCTCAGCACGAGGTCCCCAAAGACTCACCCTTGGGGGCTATTCTAGAATCCCAGGAGGGCCTAGGCCACCTGGGATCGTGATCACAGCCAGTTGGAGGGAATAGCCACAAGCAAGGCCCAGAAAACACCCAAGAGGAGCTGCCCATGGGGCCCACATGGTATGGGGCTGGGGGAGAAACTGAGAATAGGACTCTTTAGACCTACAGCCTTCAACTCTCCAGGTCCTTCAGCCTCCAAAGCTTCCTCCACTTAAACCCCAAGCCAGAGGCTCCAGAATAATGATCTGATCTGGGTTTATCTCCCCCACTGGAGCATAAGCCCTTGAGGCCAGAGACCAGTCTGCTTGACCCCATATTACAACCACCACCTAACTGCCTGCACATCGTAGAGGCTCCATTTCTGTTTGAGAAGGAAAGAATGAGATGTTGCCTGCCTCACTTCCTGGTTGGTAGTCACCACAAATGTTCCAAACCCTGTGCAAAGCCGAAGGCAAATGCCTCAGTGTTTACCTGGGGCTAAAACCTTGGTTCCAGCTCAGATAAAATCCAGCAGATACCAACATGGACCAAACTTTCCTCTGGTCCTAGGATTGATTCCAGGACTTTTTACTCTGGCATATTCCCAATGAATTGAAGGTTAAGGGCTGGTGCCCAGCTTCAGACTCTTCCAAGGGAAAGGAGGTTCCTGCCGCTGCTGCTCCCCCGGGCCCAAGGAAGAGGGGCAAGGGGCAGGGCTAGCTGAGGATGGAGGCTCCTGACCCAAATGCCCAAGCAGGGCCAGCCAAGTCAGGGCAAGGGAGGGGTCCCTTTTGTCTGGATTTAACAGAAGGAGGATTGTCTGGTAGCTCTGGCAGAAAGAAAGGGCTGATAAGTTCATCCGGGAGAAACTGCCAGTAGGCGTGTTTGCGGGTCACCACCAGCCTTCCCAGAAGCCAGTTCCTTCTCTTGCGGGGCCCTCCACCCCAGTACTTCCACTAGACCCCTTTCTACATGTCTGGCACAGGCCCTTCCTCCAGTCAGCCAGCAGGTTCCACACCTGTCCATCTACAGGTCAGTCCCCTGGGGACAGAAACCCCACATCAAGAATAAGTGTTGAGTGAATGAATAAAAATCATCTCTTCCCCCTGGGTGGACCCTAATGTCTCGGCCACATTCCACTCCCTGCTGGCTCTGAGATAAGACAGTCCTCCAAGGCTGACTTTGGGCGACGGCTCCTAAAACACAGAGCTTACGGCCTTGAACACTGGACTAGACAACAGATTATGTCTGGTCTCGGCCTGGCAGCCGGTGAAAGCCAGTAAACTGAGGGTCCTGTTTGTTCATTCTCTTCAGTCACTGACCAGCTAGCCCCAGCCCAGCAGTGGGAGAAGTTACCCATACCGTTCTGGTTCAGCCAGATTGGCAGTCCCTCTCTGCTCTCAGTCGTGTGTCTGGTCCTGGCTCGGGGATCCCCCACTGACTTCTCTAGTACAGAAACACCTCTTCCTCTCAGAGCGGGCCTAAGATCTGGGCCTGTTTGTTTCATCAGCCTGGGTTCCCCTTAGCGTCCCTTTAGTCAAGAGACATAAATGGGTTTCCCAACAATCACTGATTCTCATTCTGTTATCATGGCTGTTGGGTAAGCCCTTGGAACACTAGAATGTGTTGGACCCAAACAGACAGTCTTTATCCTAGGCTGAGTGCTGACAGAAACAGGCAGAGCCTCTAGGAGCCCTAACCTGTGGTCTGATACTCCCCAACATTTCTGGGAGCCAATTTGAGGGAAGCTACTAAAAAGACAAAGAGTGAATATTAGCCCCTCAGCCAAGCTTCCCATTGTGTCCACATGAAGAATAAGTCCCCGCTGGGACCAAGAGCCAAGTTCACTGTGTGATCTTTCATAAGCTGTTTGCCTTCTCTGAGCCTCTTGGTCAACCCATCATCAAGTGACCCCATGTGTGTGAGCTTCAGACCTGCCTGCTCAGTGAGAGTGACAGAAGACCGCTTTATGTGGCTGAGTCCAGACCAGAATGAAACACCCACCACGTGTTGTCAGTCCACAGATATTTACTGAGTCTGTTGTGCGCTGGACACAGGGAGGGATGAAAGGAACAAGCACTGCTGTTGTGGAGCCCAAATTCAAGTGTAACCAGATAGAGACT